AGAGAGAGAGAGAGAGAGAGAGAGAGAGAGAGAGAGAGAGAGAGAGAAACAGAGGAGTAAAAGCTGGCCATGAGCACGTGGAGAGAGGGGGAAAAGGAAGGGGGGGGACAGAGGGATCAAGAGAGCAAGAGCAAGAGATCAAGAGAGAGAGAGAGCAAGAGAGAGAGATGAGGGGGCAAGCAGCCCCTTTTATAGTGGGCCTGGGCCTACCTGGCTATAGCCAGGTAACTGTGGGGGTGGAGTTTAGACAGAATGCTAACAGAAGGTAAGGAGGAAGGAAGGAAAGAAGAAGGAAGGAAGGAAAGAAGAAGCACACCCAGTTCCATAATTAATATTGCTTTTAACCTGAGTGAAACTGGATTGCTTCTGAACTTTGCTTTGGCAAGCCCACGGATTATTAAACTTTTTTTTTTCTCAGTCAAAATCAATTAACAGAAATTTGATTTCCATCGACAGGATAAAAGGAAGGTAATCTTCAGGTTCATTTTTTATTGTGATGATACATCTCACATATGGCCTTAAGTACAGAAACCAGTCCTCGGAGAGACTCCAGCAGAAAGAGTCTTGCCGCAGGCAAACTAACCACAGAGTCCCTCTGATTGGCTCCCAGCGTCATTAGTGCCACTGCTGTTTAGTAACTACACACAGACAGGACATGGTGACAGCTAAGACTTTAAAGCCTATGTATTTTTCAAACAGCTTTTCAAACTGTTTTTCGTGACAGAATTTTTTTCAGCTCTATCATTAACTGCTGACAAGCTGACAGAATAAATACTCCAGCCTTTAAGAAGCCATCTACCGATCTCGCTCCCCTCCCCCCACGGAGCTGACTGGGGAGGGAGGTCTGGGCCTAGGCTTAGGCAGGTGGAAGCCAGGGAAGGAGCTGGGGAGGTGACCATGCTGGGGTTGAGGGGGATCTGCTTACCTCATCAGCTTCGGGGAGGTGCTGGGTGAGTTCCTCATGCCCCCATTACGTTGTTTTTTTTTTGGTGACAGTGTCGGCGGCTGCTCATCTTCAACTGCAAATACAGGCAGCTTGTGAGATTATGAACAGTTTGAGGGCAGACTGCGAAACACAGGCAAGATATCAAAGGACACACATTCAAGGCTCAGTCACTCACTAGAGAGGCAGGGCTGTCTTTAGAGGCCCCATGACAAAGACTGGATGCGTTAGTCAGAGAGACCAGCTGAGAGGAGGTTGAAGCAATATTGCTTTATGCACCAACCCTTGAGCATGCACTGTAAACAGACTAGAACAATATATAAATGCCCTGACACATTAAGAAAGGTGAGAAACAGTGATTTATCTACATACACACAAAAAAAATCACGTCATAGTTCTTGAGTTAATTTTGGTTAAGAGTTAATACTTTGCTTGGTTGAACAATCGAAATGAATTTTCTTGTAACCAAAATCAGAAATGGAGCTGTATCTGAGGTAGCAGCTTAATTGCCAGCCTGCTGCCTTTCCAAATGGACCATCTTAACTGGCTCCCAATCCTTGCACCCACATAAGAGCCTTGAGGAGAGGCAGAGACTCCAGGCCTTGGCTGCCCACGGTTAACAGTGGGCTGGGAACAGTGCATGTGGGCTCAAGAGTCCCCAGCCCAGCTCAGCTCTCCTCCCTGCAGCTGTGCCAGGGAGTGTACTTGGCGCTGGTGAAGAACATTGGCATGAAGGAAGAGATGGCCACTGAGTGATATCTCTTAATGATATGGCAGATGGGGACAGAGGGTAGCAGAAAGGGGTCGGAAACCATAGACTGCTTTCCAAATGTCTAAACCACGCAGACCACTAAGCAATGTGAAGCTTCACTCACAGACAACACAGAGCAAAGCACTCTGCTGCTTTTGGTCCAAAGATGCCCACTAACAAGCACTGGAGATGGATTAGCCTGCACCATGCTTGGTTTGTAAAGAGAGATGCTGGATAATTAGCAGATACTTTGCCCAGCCTGTCATCCAGGGGCAGGTACCACAAAATTCTAGTCCTCCTCTCCCCACCCCCACACAGTCCAGGCTAAAGCTGTAATGTCGAGAAGGAAATCTAGGATCCTCAGATTCTTAGAGTTGATTGTCATAGAGACTAGGAGGAAACAACCCTGAAACTCAGAATGCATGGAAGTTACCTTAAAGCTAAGAAGAGAAATATTAGTAGCGACAACATCAAAAGAAGCTTGGTATATGTTAATATGTATGAGCCTTAGATGGGGGTCAGGAGAGGGGATAGGCCAGCTCAGCTGCTTGCTATTGTCCAGAAGACCCAAAACAGAACATGCATCCTACAGCACTTCCCTGAAAACCCTAAATAGACATAGGCGGTTAGGACAGCACCAAAGGTATTCAAACAATCTAACCATACTCCAAACTGGCTTCAGAATCTCCCTTTCCATGTGAGTAGCTGTTCTACTGTCAATTTGGGGTTACCTCATTCTAACTGACCCAAGGCAAAGGAAAATGGTGTGTCAAGGTGAGAGGAATACCAAATGAATTCGAGGGCAGAAAGGACCTGCAAAGGCTCACAACTCCATTCTCTCTCCCACCTGCTCCCTCCTTCACTACCACCCCCACCTCCCACCCTAGGCTCCACTCAGGCTGAGACCCTATCAGTCACTTAGTGCTCCAGGCTGGGACTATGTGGCTGGGAGGATATCGCATCTTATCAGAAATGAGTATCCACAGCAAATCACACTGAGACTAAACAGCACTTAAAAGATTAAAGGAAATAAATACAAGCCACATAAATGGTATTGAAAAAAAATCACTTAGAGTTGATATGCATCTCTCAGCCAGCAAACAGGCACTCTGGGTTTGACCTGAATTCATCTTCCTTTCAGAGGACAGGGGGTAGGCATCCAAAGCAATTGGAGGCAGGATAAAGTGTGAGTGTGTGTATGTGCTCACACACATGCCTGGGTATACTTCTGCATTTTTCTAGCTTAGGCTGCAGAAGGAGGTCTCACGTTGATTCTCCGCACAATACAAGGCTATCTTTTAGTGTATGGGGCCACCGTTCCACTGGAACAGGGTGACCTGGATGGTTGCTAGCACATCACTTCAACGAGTTTTTATGTGTATTGTGAGCATATTTATTGGGAGGTACAAACTGTACTTTTCCTTTCATAAGCTCACAGTGCAACACCCCAAACGGTCTTTCATCTAGCCTAGTCGACAATGGCTGGGTTTATTTGAGACCACTACATGTTACCATGGTTGTGGCAAATTGTGGAAAGAGTCTCTATTAGTCACTCACACTGGCTGTTCTGCTGGCTTCTTTGCTTATCTTTTCCTTCCCCATTAGCTTCAAGCCTCTAATAAAGTATCCTCTTTGGTTAAGCACACATTTCCCTTTTACTCAGTCACTGCTGTTGGCTGGCATGGCTCTTCAGATGTGAGATCTGCAAGTTAATACGCGTTAGCCAGCTCTGGGGAGACACCTCATTGTGGAAAGAGTCTAATGCCTGCTTCGATGCGAGGAGACTATTTATTTTCATTGTGATTCTGAGAGATCATCCATCATAATCATAGCACATTTAAACTGGGATTTGTTCACTTCAATGGAACCATGTTCAAAGCTTTACTTGGAGCCTGGAAATCTGTTCCCTGAAGACCTGGGATGGAAAATGTCCTCAGCTTAAATATACGAATGCTGTGTAATGGAGAACATTACACATGGCTTAGGTTGCACAAGAGGATCAGGGATAAGTTCTCTTTACTAAGAAGGACATAAAACATTTAATTCTTATCCTTTCTCTGGGTTCTACCAATGTCTGCATATTTACAGAAAGTCATTCTAGGAAAAGTAGCTGATCTCTCAGATATAATTCCCATTGCATGGCTTCTATGACGACATGAGAAATGAAAATAGAATTAAAAGAGAGGCTTAAGTTTACTCACTTTCAGGAAAGACAGAATGTTCAAGCAGTGGGCCACTGTCTCCGGAGCACAGAGTCATGGGGCTTGTATTTAATCTGCTTTCTGGCTAATTGCAATCTACCTTTCTAGCATTTTCTTGTGCCTCCATGCAGAGGGAGCTGAATGAAGACATGCTCCTTTAAAGAAACCTGACGTGCCAGCCTCTTTAAAACACAAGTTTGGGAATCTAACGTGGAATTTTTATAGGAGCCAAACTCTCCCTAGTCTTCGAGCCCTCATAAAATTTAAGGGCTTGTTTTTGCACATCCCTAAGTATAACACTTAATGTTCTGTTGTAACTTCCCAGCGCTCTTTTGTCTAATAGGCCTAGAATCTAACAATTTTACAGTTTGGGAAGAAGAGTCAGCATTAGGAAAATGTCAGGCAGGTCTAATGAGGCTTCAGATCCCCTGGTTTTCGCTGGAGTTTCATTTAAACTTACAATGATGTTTTAACATGTTTGCGTTTTCTTGACTAAAGAGGATTCATTATTTCAGTGACATAACCTCGAGACAATGCTCTGGGAATTGATTTAAGATGTGGCGGTAATTCCACCAGCCTTAATACAGAGCTGAACATCTGTAACAACATTTCACTCCCCTTCCCATCAGCATTCTGTTTTTAAGCAAGACAAAAGCAACATCTTCCAGAAAACCTGGCCAGAGGCCGGGGCTTACTTCAAAATGATCAGATATTTTATTAGGTTTTTCGTCGTTGTTGTTGTTTAAAAAAGAAATCCCTGACTTTGTCTTCCTTTCTAGACTGGAAACCACTGATGCTTCTTGTAAGGGTCCTTGAAGTGTAATGGGTAATGACTATGACTTTCAGGTTACCCAAGTAGCCTGATACTTACTTGGAATGGATCCACCAGTCCCCTCCTCCTGTTTTCCTCAAGAGATTAAGGAGGGCGGGGTGGGGGTGGGGTGGGGATGAAGCTCTGAGATTTAAAGGTGAGTTTGTTGGCTGGAGTTAAAAAATAGCTCAAAGCAAATAAAGTCAGAGTAGTAATAAAAGGTAACAACTCATAAACATGAGTCAAACAGCTATCTCCATTACGTTATTAACGACCACATCTGGAGTAACCCACATCTGCACACACTTAGCAGATCATTAGTAATGTCATATTCACACTGGAGTCACTCAGAATAAATGGCATGCATAGTGGCATGGAACACAAAGGCATCAAACTGAAGGGGCTTCCTACTAATGTCAGGGCGCAAGCTTCAGTGGGGTTGTTTTCATGATCATTCATTGTTTTGTTTTGTTTTTTTTTTTATGACTTTTCTGTTTCAAATTTTGTGGCCCAAAGAAGTTAAATGCATGCTGAAAGCCACAGTAGTCCTCTCTCTTCTGCAACTGAGCTTAGTGTGTCACGGTGTGCAATGCTGAGGGGTACCAGGCAATTATTAAACATTGGGACAAAGCCCAGCACTCCTTCACCTGGCTTGGGAACATGTCGAGAATTGGGAGTTGCATTCTTGTGCACAAATGGATCTTTGTGGTAGCGTGCTCTAGCTTCAACCTTGACTGCCGAACAATAAGGAGAGAAGAAAATTGAAATTAATCCTGAATGAAATCGTTCATTACAAAAGTTACCAGCTGGTTTTTAGCACCAAATAAAAAGCCTCATTTTGTGTTAGAATGGAAGTTTCTTCCTTGTGGCTGAATGGCAGGTTCTCTGGCCCCCTCCCTCACTGACCACACAAAATACTTTCAGAAGGGGTGACACCTAAAACTTAAGAAGGGACATGCTGGAGAAAGTCCTGATAAATACTGCTCATGTTTCAAGTCTTTATCCCTCAACGTTAAAGTATGGATTCTCATCCCAGACTGTCAGCCTGATCAGCCATCTTGGTTTTGACATCACTACTCAACTTGGTCTAACTGTAAATGCCATGCATTGGACACTCAGAAAAAGTAGTGTGGCCACACAGTTCAGGGTAGAGCTAAGAGGTACAGTGCTCGCTTAGCATGAGTGATGGCCTGGGTTCTACCCCCGCATCTCTAGAAAGGGGGAGACTGTGATATGTCACATTTCTCTGTGCTAGCTCTACCATCAGGGAGACACAGGTACTTTCTAGAGTGGTCCTGTTTGTTATACAACTTCTCTCTGGCAAACACTGAGGGTTAAACAGTGAAAGTCCAATTGCTGTTGTCAAGGTTAATAACAGCATGCTTCCTTTCCTCTTCTCCAAGACAGACCACAGAAACCCCAGCAACACTGTTATTCTGTGATGAGAGTCACTGTGGAGAAAAGCTCCTTGGCTGACTGAATTCCCTGAGAAATGTAAAGTCCTACTCTCCACCAAGGAGTCTGGACTAATTAATACTCCAGGTGTTTATAATGTGGACACCAGGGGAAAAATGGATCCTCAATGAGAGAAGGATGCTTCCCCCGCTGGCAGCCTGTCATATATACACAGGCCTGGTAACAGGAAGTGGGTGTGTCCTTAAGAAATAACTGAAAAACAATGATAATAAAACCCAAACAGATAATCCATAGTGTGGGCTGGGCACCATAACTGTCCATGCTAGTACCTGACTGATGATGCAGGATGAAGCCTGTAGCTAGGAATTGCCATGAGCCCATCAAATGAGATTGAGCAGTAAGCATGGCTAAGACAAAGGGCAGGGGACTTAGAGAAGTCATCCTTAGGATGAGAATTTCTGATCTGACAATCAGGGGATACAGCATCCAAGAACTCTACACAGTACCCTTACTAAGATCAATCAAGAAAAGTTGTCATGAAAGATCACGGCAAGATATTAATATACAGATAATGATAAGATGAAGGATGTTACCCTACCACCATACTGTCTTGAACATACAAAATTCCCTAAAATTGAACAGCCACGTCTTTCTGTACATTATCCAGCTGGGCAATCTCACAACCTGTAGCTGAAAAAACAGGAAACAGATTTATTTGGAAAACTTGGAGGATGTAGTTTATTAAAGGAATCTGTCATTATATAAAATGAAAATGGGCGGCTGTATTGTACTAACAGGGCACAGGGAGCACCCGCCCCGTGGAGAGCTGGTAGGGCAGAGAGGGGAGGGTTTGTTGGTGATTTTCCATTTCTGCCTTTTGTAGTGCTAATAGAAGAATAGGAAGGGAGACTTTAAGGAACAATAGGTTATGTAGAAGTTAATCACAGGGTATATTTCTGGCTCTATTCACTGCCTAGGAAACCTGAATTGTGTAAGTTTGAGTCCATCAATATAGAGTAATGAAGGAATTCAGCTCCTACATGAGAGAGAAAAAAATATACTACATGAATATGTTAACAGGATCCATGTGACCTTCATTGTAATTTCTTTCTATAAATAGGAATAAAGGCTCCCCTAGAATCAAACTAGATAGACTGTTTACCCATGGTACCCACAAATTCCATCTAATTGGATCTCTCAAACAACAAGCATCTGCCTCGCTTGCATCACAGTGGGGGAGTGGTGGGCCTCAGAAAGCATTGCATCTAGAATCTCAGATCACATATCTTTCCTGGACTCTGACCCTGCTGTAAGTATTTGCCCATTACTCTTCCCTCCTTTTGGAGATCTAGTTGCCTTTGGTTCGTTTCCTTCTTTCGTTTTCTGTCTTAGAGCAGGCTTCTGCATTGCCTCCAGTACAAAGGAGGCTCAGGTGAAAATCCTAGGTGTTAGCCTCTCAGCAAAAAGATTCAGACATGGACAATGGAATTGGAGGAGGAAGGACACAAGTGAATCAAGAAATGCAAGAACATCCCTGAGTGATTCTAGTGGAGTCTGGAGAGGGTCGTGGGAGCAAGAAGACCACTTTTAATTCATTTGAACCAAACAAGGGCAGGGCTTAAACAGGGCTCAACAAAAGAGCTCAACCCTAATCGCCATCTCCTCCCCCTCTTGGAACTTTCGTCCCCAAGCCAACCAGATTCGAAGGCCTTCAGGGAAAGGCAGAATTGATTTTTATTTGTAGCCCTACTGTGTGATGGTCATGTTTGGTAGGTCATTTAGAGCACAGTGAAGACTGCTCAGCTCCTGGTACCAACAGCTGGCTCTTCTCATGACCCTCTCATGTCCAGGGTCAACAGAGACCTCCCATGTACTTTCGTATAGCCCCCACTTGTTAAATAATTGGTGAAAACTATAAGGATAATATTTCCTAAAACATTAAAAAGATGTTATCTAGGCATGGGAGGGTATGTAATCTTAGCACTTCAAAGGCTGAGGCAGGACGATCAGGGTTTGGAGCTGGCTTGGATTCTATTGTGAGTACCAAGAACAAAACAAAATTCCAGTTTTAGTCTCTATAAATAAAATTACACATGACCAGAACCACCATCATTTATTTCCCTGTTGTCCCTAGCTTCTCTCCTTCTATAACAATATTGAATAACGTCATAACTTCAATAAAGACCATATAGACTACAAAGCTCAAGATATTAACCACCTGACCCTTGGCAGAAAAAACTGTGTTGATGCCTTCAACAGGCTCCTCTGCACATCTGTCCAGCTTCTGACCTTTTCAAGGACACTCAACTTTCCCACCTGTCCAAATAGGCCAGCAATACAATAAGGGACAGAGTCCTATTATATTGAAGCACATAGTATGAGGACTTGGGGACAGACAGAGGTCATTTTGTGACACTACTGTCCCTATGACTCAACCTGCTATGGGCCCTGTTGGCCCCTTCATGTTTGGAGGACTTGAGTCAGGTGAGTTCCACCTTTTTCAATCAAGCTAACTTAAATTCATCTACCGGGTACTCTGAGAGTCAAGGCAAAAGCCAATCCTCTGTGAATAATTCCTCTAAGCTGTCAGTATGTGCTGCCAGTCCACCCTGTGAGAGCCCATACAAGACAACAGATTAACCATTAGAGTAGATATGTTGAAAATATACAGCTTCAACCTTTCCCCGGCTAGCTCAGAGCGATATACAGATGATTATTTCAACCGTCAGCTGCCGTATAGATTTAAAGCCCCGAATAGCAACTCCTGGATTCGTCTGCCCCTTGTCAAACTGGCATAGCGTTAGTTGGAGGATACATGGTGTGGCAGTTTCACTGCGAATCCAGAATGATCCAGACGGCTGCTGTCTCTTTGTTAACAGGAAGCCAAACTGATGAGTTTGTAATGTGTTTCTTATCAAAGGTGGTTTCAGAGAAGAAAATGCACCCCATCAGTTTGGCAAGTATTTCATAGAGGCCAGATTATGGGCTTTAATCAGAGCGCTGACGTTATTTTCTTGAAGAAAGAGACAACCCAGCATCCATCCCATTAAAATCATCTCATGCCAATGAATTATGTATTTATGAATTTATAATTATCCTTGATTCTTTCCTTCCTGCTGCATCCTTAATAAAATCATCAGCTGGAGCCTACAGAGTGATGACGCTTAATGTATGAGCATCTTCATGCATTTATCTATTTATTTATTTACTTATTTTAAGGTTGGTGCTGATACTTTTGAGCCTTGTGTCTAAAACCATCATTGTGAATGGCAGGATTGCAGTTCTCAGATTCAACGTTTCACAAAGACACAAAGAAATGTAACGGGATGTGGGGTACTCGAAAACAGACTTCCTTCTAATACAGCTTATTATTGTGAACAGGATGTGGGGTACTCGAAAACAGACTTCCTTCTAATGCAGCTTATTATTGTGTAGCCTCCATTTGTATTATCATGAGGAAAATCCCTGTTAGGATGCCAGACACTGCTCTTCGCACACTGAAAGGACTCACATGGGTAATTGAAACTTCTAGCTTACTGCTGGCCATTTTCTTACTTTTCTTCCCTGTTCGATTCCATGGCTAAACACTGGCATTAAACCTTGTTTACTGGGTCACCCTTTAAAACGATGAGATTTTTCTTCATTATGATCATTCCTCTGTTCTTATTATTTAAAGATAATATATGATATTCTTGACTCCTGAGATTTCAGATATGCTCTTAAAACTGGCTGCACTCTCTCCCTACCCTGGCCCTGCCCATCCCTCAAGGGCATTTCAGTTGCCAGTTCCACCACCCAACAGAAGGGTATGAGGTAAACAACCAGTGGGTTTTTTCTTTGGATCCCTTCACGCTGTGTGCGTGAGATTGCTAAGGACAGCCTTTGCATCACAGGCTTCCTCCTGGGTTTACAAATTGTCAGACATCCAAAGGAATGGAGAAAGGATCATGCTGCCTAGGAACCTGAGTCTTGCCACCTGCCCAGGGTGAGAAACAGAAAAGCGAGATGGTGTCAGGCCTCTTGCAGACATCAGTGTAACCCCATGTCAACCGCTCCCAGTTACTGCTATGCTGGTTTACATTTTCATTTCAGGTTGCAAGTTCCTATTAGCTCAGATGTTTTGACTGATATCTCACCTTCTTTCTGTTTTTCCCCTCCCCCTAAACAGCTTCAAATTAATATGACTAGCAGATGTCAATCATACTTTTATTTCTGTTTTCACTTTGCTGTTTCTGTTTTTAAAATTAGTGCTTGGTGCACTGATTCTGCCTTCTAAAGACTAGCCTTTAATTCAACTGTGTCTACATGGAGCTGTTTT